TCGGCGGTCCGCGGTCCGCGGTGGAGGGGCTGGTGGGGGTGAGCGGCATCTTGCCTTTACCGAGCGTGTGCTGCCATTGCTGCCAGGCCGAGGACAGATGGCGTGTGTTGTCTCGTTCGATGCTCATCAGAACCCCTGAGAAGCACAGGCCATTAACCACCATGTTGCAGAAGCGGATCCTAAGGGTCTGCGACGTGACCTCAGTCGTCTGCCTGAGGGAGCCTGGACTTGCAGCCAGGCGTGCGCGACTCCACCCGTCGGCCAGGCGCGCGTGCATTTAGTTGGGATGAGAGGCAGGAGAAAAGGGTTGCGGCCCGGACCGCTTCGCTCATCTCTCACCTCCAAGCACCTGTGGACTTCCGGGCAGCCTCCTGGTGCTTCGCGTCCTGCCCAGGCAGGACAGCCCCGCTCAGTGTTTCTTACTGTTTTGTTCTCCCCGAGACGTTTATTAGGGGAGTTGCACGTAGAGGGGTTGAGTGCTCCCCAGACCAGCTTCCGTTAGAGGGGTGAGTGGTCAGAAAGATGGATGGTAAAACAGGGGAAGCAGTGAAGGCTGAGTCTGGCCTTCTCACTGTCAGAAAATTCTGGAGTGCGAGGCTGTCCCGAGAGAAGGGCCCTCCTATCTTGCCTTACCCCGAACGGCTCGCTGAAATGCCGGGGCGCCTTGGAATCTGGGCTTCTCCCGACTCTTAAATGTCAGGAGTGCCCACAGGCTGGGATGCTATTGGCATAGAGAGGGCAATATGCCAATGGAAGGGATGAAAGGGTGCCTTCAGGCCCTGAGCGTCTGTTTGCCAGGGCCGTGAACATGACTGAAAACCGTGCCGCGTGGAGCCATGGTAAGGCCCAAAGGTTTCTTTGGTTCTGGACTTGCCCCCTCTGTCCCCGGGAAAGGCTGTAAGGTCCTCCAAGGGGACGTGGCCAGGCTTGTTTGGCTTCAGCTCTGCTTCTCCTTTGCCCTCTTTCCCAAAGTCGGTGGAGCTGGGGTTGCATCAGAATATGCTGGCAGCCTGGAGGAAAGCTTGGACTTTTCATGCCAAATTCTCTCACTGACAATCAGCTGCAAAAGCACTCTTGTTAAGTAAACCAACTCTTTTTACCATTTATTGGTTTTTAGAGAGAGAGGAAGGGAGAAGAGAGAAACATCGATGTGAGAGCAGAACATCAATCAGCTTCCTCCTTTATGGCCCCGGGGGCCAAGCCCTCAATCCGGGCAAGTGCCCTGATCGGAACCAGACCAGCAGGCCTTTGGTGCACGGGGCAACGCCCAACTGAGTGACCCAGGCCGCAGGTGCCATTTCATTTTTAAGTCCTGATCAACCTGTTATCTTTTTCTCTAGTCAAAGCAGAGTGGAATCGAAAGAACTGTTTGGAGAATTCCCCCAAACTTGGTTTGTATGTAGGAAGAGCTGCATTACTCCTGTGGGGCGGAGTCAGTGTTCTGTCTCTCATAGAAAATTTGTTAGTTGTCTTTGTGGAATCAATACCTCACTTCGAAAGATTAGGAGTGAGTAACCAACTGTTTCTTCCTTAACAGGCAATGAGGAGCAGTGGTTAAAAGTATGAGCTCTGAGGCCATCCCCACTGGCTAGAATCCTAGCCCCCACTATTACCACCAGCTGGTTGATCTTAGATAAATTACTTAATTTTTCTGGCCTTAGATCCTCCATCTGTAAAATGGGAACGAAACTAGTGCCTATCGCATGGGTTGTCCTTGAGGATTAAGTAAGTTAACTTATTTTAGAAGAGTGCCTGATATAGTGCCTTATCTATTTTTTTAATTAAATCTTTATTTTTCAGATTATTACAGTTGTTCCTCTTTTTTCCCTCCACCCGGTTCCCACCCCACTGTCCTCATCCATAGGTGTATGATTTTTGTCCAGTTTCTTCCTGCGCCCCCCGCCCCCAGAATAGCCAGTCCATTCCCTTTCTATGTCCCTGATTCTATTATAATCACCCGTTCATTCTGTTCATCAGATTATTTATTCACTTGTTGATAGATGCATATTTGTTGTTCATAATTTGTATCTTTACCTTTCTCTTTTTCTTCCTCTTCTTAAAGGATACCTTTCAGCATTTCATATAATACTGGTTTGGTGGTGATGAACTCCTTTAGCTTTTCTTATCAGTGAAGTTCTT